ACCTACACTAACCTAAACATGAGTTCATACTGATGTCTCTGACTAACCCATTACCATATGTTTCATTTTAGCCTTCTCTTTTTGCTTACCTGTAAACTCCAACTGCCACCATCTGCCAGTTATCATCCCTTAACTTATTTGTTCAATCCCTGTATACATATACAGTGGGTTCTGAATTATTAACCTGTGTCTTCATGAGAACATGCTTTGTATAATTACTATTCTTTTTAATCTGTTAAGGTGTGTTTCATGGCCCAGGTGTCATCTATTTTTGTTTCATGTATGCTTGAGAAAAATACGTTCTGCTGCTGTTGGATGGTGTGTTCTATAAATATCAATTAGATCAAGTTATTTGATAGTGCTGTTCAGGTCATCTATATTTTTACTGATTTTCTATCTATTTGCTCTGTCAATTACTGACAAAGAAGTGTTGAAGTCTCCAACTAAAACAATAGAGTTGTCTATTTCTCTTTTTTAGTTCTATCAATGTTTACCTCATGTATTTTGATGGTCTCCTGTTGACTGTGTACCATTAGAATTGTATCTTCTTGGAGAGTTAACTTCTTTATAATTATATAATGGCCCTTTTACCTATATTCTAAAATAAGTTTTGTCTGAAATTAATAAGCTATTCCCACTTTCTTTTTATTAGTGTTAGCATGGTATATCTTTCTTCATATTTTCACTTCTGACCTATGTATGTCCCATTTAAAGTGAATTTCTTGTAGAAAATATGTAGGCAAATCCTTTTTTAAATCCAATCTCATGATCTCATTCTTTTATCTGATGTTCACATGTAAAGTGATTGTTAATAGAAATAGAGTAAAATCCACTATTTTTGGTAAATCTATCTATTCATAACATTTGTTCTTTACAGCTTCCCCCACACACACCCACCCTCCTTTTTCTGCCTTTTCTGGTTTCAAGTATCTTATTTTATTCCATTTTATCTCCATCTTAACATATAATTTATACTAATTTTAAGCTTTTTTTTAGTGGTTGCCCTAGGGTTTACAACATGCATTTTAAAATAATCTAAGTCCACATTTAAATTACATTATACTTCTTCATGTGTATTTCAGCAATCTAATAACAGAATTTGCTCAATTCTTCCCTCCTGTGCCTTGTGACATAGCTGTTATTCATATAATTTATCCAAGGCTTTAAACACCCAATACATTGTTACTATTATTGCTTTAAACAGATATCTTTTAGATCAAGTAAGAATTAAAAAATAAAATAATTTATTTTTCTTAGTTTATTTTTTTCTGATGCTCTTCCTTTCTTTATGTAGATCAAAGTGTTTTTACCTACATCAATTTCCTTCTGTCTAAAAAACTTATTTTAACATTTTAAAAAATGGTTTGTAATGAGAAATTCACTCTAATCCTTATTCTTGATCCTCTGTAGTTAAGGTGTCTATCGAGTATCACCTCAGATTTCTTCAACTTTTTATATTTGGTTTCAGCCATTTGAATATAATATGTACAGGTGTGTGTGTGTGTGTGTGTGTGTGTGTGTATTTGTGTGTGTGTTTGGTGTTTGTCCTGTTTGGTATTCCCTGAACTTCTCAGATATGTGGTTTGGTGTCTGTTGTTAGTTTTGGAGAGTTCTTAGCCATTATTTCTTCAATATTTTTTGTGTCCTATTTTCTTTCTGCTCTTTTGGTGTGCCAATTACATGTATACTATACCTTTTTATATGTCTCACAGTTCTTAAATGTTCTATTCTGTTTTTTTTTCCAGTTAATTTTCTCTTCATATTTCAAATTGGGAAGTTTCAATTACTTATCTTCAAACTCACTGAGTCTTTACTTTTGCTTTCTTTTTTTTATTGTGGTAAAATATACATAACATGAAATTTACCATTTTAGCCATTTGTAGTGTACACTTGAGCAGCATCAAGTACATTCACAATGTTGTCAAATCATTGCACTATACATTTCCAGAACATTTTTTTATCATTCCAAATAGAGACTACACCCATTAAACTATAACACAGCATTCTTCCCTCCCCACCACCCTCAGTCTCTGGTTACCTCTATTCTACTTTCTGTCTCTATGAAGCTGCCTACTCTAGGTGCATCATATTAGTGAAACAATACAACATTTTTCATTTTGTATCTGCCTTATCTCACTTAGCATTATGTTTTCAAAGTTCATCCATGTTGTAATATGTATCAGAATTATTTCTTCTCAAATTTAAATAATATTCCATTGTATGTTTATACCACATTTTGTTAAGATATGGCTTAACAAAATGTGATATAAACATACAATGAAATTGTTAATGAACATTTGGGTTGTTTCTACCTTTTGACTACTGTGAACAGGGGTGTACAAATGTCTGTTTGAGTCCCTGCACTCATTTCCTTTGAGTATATACCTAGGAGTGAAATTGATGGGCTATATGATAATTCTATGTTTTATTTTTTGAGAAATCACCAAACTGTTTCCACATGGCCGCACCATGTTACATTCCAGCAGTGCAGAAGGGTTTCAGTTTCTTAATATTCTGTTTCTCAGAACTCCCACTCTTAAGCTAACTCTTAGCCAACTGAGCCACTTGGCCAGCCCTACAATTTCTTGATAGTGTTCTTTGAGCACAAAAGTTTTTAATTTTGATGAAATCTATGTTCTCCTTTTTTTTTCTATTGTTTCCAGTGCTTTTTGGTGTCTTATATAAGAAAATTATGGTCAAATCCAATGTCATAAAGACTTTCCTTATGTCTTTTTCTAGTATATTTATGGTTTTAGTTTATACATTTAGATCTTTGATACATTTTGAGTTTGTATTTGGTATAAGGTAAGGATCCAATATTATACTTTGTATGTGGATATCTAATTTTCCTAACATCATTAGTTGGAAAAACAATCCTTTCTCCATGGAATGGTTTTGGAAAACTTGTCAAGGAGTACCGAATATGCAAGGGTTTATTTCTTTGTTCTCCATTGTTCTATGTGTCTGTCCTTATGCCAGTAGCACCCAGTTTTGATTACTGTAGCATTGTAGTAGTTTTCAAATCAAGAAGTGTGACTTCTCCAATTGTCTTCTCTATCAAGATTGTTTGGCTATTGACATCCATTGAGATTCCATATAAATGTTAGGATTTTTTTTATTTCTCCAAAAATAAAAAAGCTATTGGGATATTCATAAGGATTGCATTGAATCTGCAGATTGCTTTAGGCAGCATGGTGATGTTAACAGTTTAAGTCTTCCAACCCCTGAACGTGGGATGTGTATTTATTTATTTATTTATGTCTTTTAAATTTTCTCTCATCAATGTATTGTAGTTTTCAGTATACAATTTGTTTGCCTCCTTGGTTAAATTTATTCCTAAGTATTTTTTAATTAAAATTTATTGGGGTGACAATGGTCAATAAAACTACATAGGTTTCAAACGTACAATTCTATGTCATCTATATATTGCATTATGTGTTCACCACCCAGGGTCAGTTCTCCTTCCATTACCATATGCTTTGTAAATGAAATTGTTTTATTAATTTTTTTGATTGTTCATTGTTAGTGTATAAAATTGGAAGTGATATTCATGTGCTGATTTTGTATCCTGCAACTTTGCTGAATTAATTTATTAGATTTAACTGTTTTCTTGTGGCTCTTTAGAATTTTCTATGTATAAAATCATGTCATCTGTGAACAAAAATAATTTCACTTTTTTTCCAATTTGGATACATTTTACATTTCTTTTTATGCCTAATTGCTCTGGCTAAAACTTCTATTACTACTTTGAAAGGAAGGGGTAAAAATGGGCATCTTTGTCTTGTGCCTGATCATAGGGGGAAAACTTGCAGTCTTTTACCATTAAGAATGATGTTAGCTGTGAGTTTTTAATAAATTCGCTTTATCACGTTAAGGTATTTTTCTTCTATTCCTAGTTTATTGAGTATTTTTTATCATGAAAGGCTGTTGGATTTTGTCAAATGTTTTTCCTGCATTAATTAAGATAATCATGTGCTTTTATTCCCTTCATCTTATTAATGTGATGAATCACTGTTTGATTTTTGTATGTTAAATCACCAAGAATAAAAACTCACTTGGTCTTTGTATGTAATCCTTCTAATATAGTGCTGAGTTCAGTTTGCTAGTATTTTATTGAGAATTTTTGTATCTATATATTTATAAAGAATATTGGTGTGTAGTTTTCTTGTAGCCTCTTTTTCTGGCTTTGTTATTAGGGCAGTGCTGGCCTCTTGGAATGAGTTAGGAATGCTTCTTGCTTCTTTAGCTTTTTTGAAAAAATTTGAAAAGAATTGGTATTAAATCTTTTTTTAAGTTAAAATTTATTGGTGTGATAATGGCTAGTAAAATTATATAGGTTTCAAGTATACTTCTCTATAAATATATATATATATATATATATATATATATATATATATATATATATATATATATATATTTGTGTATTCACCACCCAGAGTCAGTTCTGAAAGCAACAAAGGAACAAGACAAACAAATAAAAAAACAAAACCTCATAGGCACAGACAATAGTTTAGTGGTTACCAGAGAGTAAGGGGGAAGGAGGTGGTAGATAAGGGTAAACAGGGTCAAATAAATCTTCTTTAAGTGTTTGGTGGCATTCACCAAGTGAAGTCATCTTGTCTGGGGCTAATCTTTGTTGTGTAATCCAAAATTACTAACTCAATCTCCTTGCTAGTTATTCCATTCAGCTTTTACATTTCTTCGTGACCAACTTTGGTAAATGTGTGTTTCTAGGAATGAGCCCATTTCATCTAGGACTAGGTTATCCAATTTGTTGACATATAAATATTCACAGCATTCTCTATAATCTTTCTCCTTTTTTTTGTAAAATTAGTAGCAATATCCCCACTTTAGTTTCTGATTTCACTACTTTGAGTTTTGTCTCTTTTGTTCTCAGTTTATATAGTCAAATATTTTTCTATTTAGTTGATCTTTCCAAAGAACCAACTTTTGGTCTTGTTGACTTTTTAATATTGTTTTTCTACTTTCCATTTTATTTATCTCCATGCATTTTCTTTTCTTCCTTGTACTGGCTTTGGGTTAGTTTTCTCTTCTTTTTCTAGTTCCTTAAGGTATAAAATTAGGTTATCAATTTGATATCTTTCTTCTTTTTTAATGTATGCATTACAGATATAAATTTCCCTCTTACATCCCATATGTTTTTGCATGTTGACTTTCATTTTCATCTGTCTCAAGGTATCTTGTAATAAAGCTCCCTGATTTTTTACTCAGCCATGTTGTCTACTGATAACCCCATGAAAAGAATTCTTCATTTGTTACGTTTTTGATTTCTAGAATTTTCGTTTGATTTCTTTCTTAAAACCCTTCCTGTCAACTTATATTACCACCTTTTCTTGCATGCTATCTAATTTTTTATTAAAGCTCTAAACAAATTGATCAAACTTATTTTCTAACTTTTATCTGATAATTCCAACATCTGTGAGTCTAGTTATGATGATAGCTTTGTCCTTCAGACTTTGTTTCTTCTTGCTTTTAGCAGGCTTTATAATTTTCAGTTAAAATGTTATATAGGGTAATATTGGGTTGTCGGAAAAGTCATGATGCATTTTTGCAACAAAAAACATAGAAAAAATACTTCATGACTTTTCCAACAACCCAGTAGATACTGAGGTAAATAGGTTTTTAGTATAAGGATTTATGTTAATCTGGCTAAGAGTTGGGGTGTTTTAATATTTGTCATAGATATAGGCACCAGAGGCTAAATATTACTCTAGAGGCTTCTTGTGGTTTTCTTTTGTTCTGGTCCTTAGAGACAATCTCTTTCTCTTTTAATTGTAATCCACTGTTATTATTACTAGAGGCTTATTAGTGTGGTGATAGGGTGAGTGAGTGGGGTAAGGAGGAGAGTGTTGGTTCTCTTATCTTCTAAGCTTCTAATTAAGTTTCAGTGTTTTGTAAGCCTGTGCCTCAGGGGTGGACTTAAACCTTCAAAAGCCCTAGTCCTTTCTGGCCTACTATTTCCAATTTGCCCATCTCTTGCTTATTTATTTATTTATTTATTTATTTATTTATGTATTTATGTATGTATGTATGTATGTATGTATGTATTTATTTATTTATTTATTACCTTACGTGAGACATGAAGGCTTGAGAGGACTGGAATAGGTGTGCATTCCCTTCCTTCAGTTGGCTTTAGAATAGCTCTCTGGAGAAATCCCTCCCTTGTGAGGTAGGTCTGTTAGGAAGAAAGGCCTGGAGGGTTTCACAACGGCTGTTTTTGCTCTCCCTCTGCCAGGCCCACAGGGGGATCTTTTTCTATCCTCACCTTGAAAACATAGTGTGGCTCCTGGAGGAGAAGCCTACAAAAGTGTAAGCCCCCTCTTACTGCCCAGCCCCCCAGGTTCTTATTTAGCCTGAAATAATTTGTCAAAATTACTCTTTAACTGTTCCTACCAGTTTTTGGCATCTTTCAGCTTCTGCTCTAGGTCTTGGTTGTTGTAGTTCTCTGGATGCAGCTGTCTCCGTGTTTCAAGGAAGCTGTTTATCCTGCAGCCTCAGTTCTCCGATGAGTCAAGAAAAGTCACTGATTTTTAGTTTGTCTAACTTTTTCTTGTTGTAAGTATGGAAACGACAACTTCTAAGGTCTTACATATAACAACAACAAAAGACACCTTTCCCCTCTCAAATATGGGGGTGTGTGCTATATCTGTTATCAGTCTGGATCACAGGACATTAACATCAGGGACTCAAGACAGCAGGGCAGTAAGGTGGAAACACAGAAGCAAGATGCACTGTTCAGGATGCATTTTTAAAAAATATGCATCTTTTCATTGTTGAGGCAAGTGTCATTTTATATTTTTGAAGAGGACTTTAAAACAGAACATTTAGGAGAATAAAAGAGTGAGAGCAGTATTGTTTATAACAGCAAAATGGAAAATAACTTCAATACCCATCAACAAGAGAGCATTTAAATTAATTGTCACCTACAGGAGACTACTGTGCAGCTGTTCAAGAGAATAAAGAAACTACCATCTGCCAGAGCCTGCCAGGAAGATGTCTGCAATACGTTGTGCAGTAAAAGAGATTAAAGTTCATGCATGTTTATGTCAGGAACATAGAAAGGGTCTGAGAGAACCTCCAGTGGTCAAGGACAAGGAACAAGAGGCTCAGCACTTCACGGTATTTGAATTGGTTGTACAAAATGGTAATTAATTTTATCATCAAAACAACAGAGGGTGAAGGAGGAAAGGAGACTACTTTTTATTGTTTTCCTTTCTGTGACTTTTGAGTTTTGCATCTCTATTCCATTAAAAAGTAAATAAATAAAATAAGAAACCAGGAAAGGTAAGCAGCACCCCCAATATGGTTCATAGGTTCTTCCCCAGCATGTCTGGTCTCACCCCTTTGCAGCACCTCCCTTATGCTGTCTTCTTCACCGTCCTGGCCTGCACACAGGTACCCTGCTGTAGGGCCCAAGGCTGCCCCACTGTTAGAGCATGCTGGGGCTGCCCGCCTCCTACTCAGGAACCCCTAGTTCCCAGGGTAACCACAGGAGATTGGAAGGCACACAACACAAAGGCTCCAGGGTGAACCCCAGCTCCCAACTTACCAATGTGAGACCCTGAGTGAGTCACTCAGGCTCTGTGGGACAGCTGTGAACTGAGAACAACTGGACCTACTTCATAGGGTTTACTTTATACAGTACAAAACCTATAACCTCTACAGCCATGTGTAAATGAGAGAGTTAGAAATGACCAGAGATATGAAAGTGCCCCAGACTGGCCTCTTCCACTCCCAGCACTGAGCTAAGTGACTGTCCCAGGAACTGGCTCCGTAGTTCCCCTCTCCCCCTAAGTGAGGACATCCTTGAGGGTTGCAGAGCCCAGTCAGACTGGCACTGCCTGGGCCCCTCTTGCAGGGGAGGGCACCCTGAGGGGAAGGGTTTGGAGAGAGAGGTGGACTGAGGGAGCCTGAAACCCACTAGAAACAAGAGGAAGGTTTCCTCCATCTTCCCAACAAGGTGCCTAGCAGGCCACTGCTGAAACCCAGACTGCTGAGAATGTTAATCTCCAGAGTGCCAGGATTGCCTAAGATGCTCTCCAGACTGAGAACCTCTACGCCAGAAGTTCTTTCCAGGTAGCCACCTGCTATGGGTCACTGTAGACCATGCCTTGCCATGGCCCTGGGCCACCTTGTTGCTTGCCCTCCGTAGTGATCTTGGCCTGGCTGGGTTCTCCCCCATCATCACCAGTCAGTGTCACAACAAGAAAATACCATCAGAACTTCTGCCAAGGGGAGACCTTAACTCTGCCACTCTCTAGACACAAGGCTGATGGTCAATAAGAAGTCAGAAAACTATGCACAACCTTTTGATATTTCATTCATTCAACAAGCATTTACTGAATACCTGTTCTGCTCAGGTGTAGTACAAAGTTACAGGTGATCAAATGAGGGGCACCCCTTGCCCCCAGGGTTTTAAGCCTGCTTTCAAGGAGATACAAGGCTGGCACCCAGAGGATGCTCAGATATCTGTGCTCTTGAAGAAGGGGGGAATGAAGGCTTTAGGGGAGGGGTTCACTGCAGGAGCTCAGTGAGAGACATTCTAGAGCCTGATGAATAGCTGAGCCTGTGGAGTTACAGGTGGGTCTCAAACCCCATCAACCCCACTCACTCACCATGGGCATCCCCAGGCGAGTCACATCAGCACTGTCTTTGGTCTCTATGTTTGAGCAATGTGGGTGACAGCTGCACTCAAGCTGATGCAGGGATGAGGTGAGAGATGCCATGTGCCTCCTGCTCTCAGCTGGGCTCAGTAATTGTTGGAGTCATCTGTGGCAGGCCTGAGAGGAGGGGTCAAGTGTAGCTTCCCAGGAAGGCTGGCCCTGATCTTCCTCTGTGTCCAGGTCTGGGTGGGCCAGTCAGGGGCCTTACCATAAGCTTTTGCGCCTATAGGGGCTGACTGTGTCCTGCACACAGTCGACCCCAGCAAAGTGGTGTTATTGAGGGCTGCAGAGCATTTTCTCACCTGAAACAGAGACTCAAACAGCCAGGAGAGGCACCAGCCTGGGCCCAGCTATGACTGCATCCCTCAGTGTGCAGTCCCATCCCTGTCCTCTGACCTACCCCTTTGCTGCTGACCTTTCCTTCAGAAACAATTTCATAGGCTTCCTGTGGCATCCCAGCCTTTGTGTCTCACTGCAGTGCGTCTGTGAGGGGGATCCCCTCTTAGAGAACCTTGACAGGCAGTCTGTCATTACACCTCCTGTCCCAACACTGGCCAGAATGGATGCTTGCCCTTCTCAAGGATGCGGGCCACGTTTTCCCAGCACGATTCTGAATGTTTGTTGCTGTGCATGTGTTGTGGCTGTGGAGGGATGAGACCAGCCCCTTCAAGGTAAGTTTTCTTGAAGGGGAGGAAGGGGTGCTGGCAGTGTCGAGGGTGCCAATAGCAGAATCAGTCAGTTCCACCTAAAGAACGTTTTGCTGTCCATGGCTCCATTAGAGAGTATAAGTTGGGAGGAATTACTGTTTATAGAGGATGATTTGTGGAAGAGAATTCACCAACATCTGTCAGCCAGGAGCAGGTGGGTTGCACAGTAACACATGGTGTCTGCTGATTCAAGGTTTTTGCTGAGATGGGGCTGGTCCTGCTTCTTATTCCTACGGAGAAGCCCTTTGGGTCTCCCAGTACATCATGGTTGCTTGTTCTGGAGGTGGAGCGCACGTGGGGGTGGGGTCAGCAGACACTTCTATGCAGCTCCCCATCCCATCTGTCACCCACTGTCAGTGTCTTACCCCTAAGCCTCAGATCCCACACTCACACTTCTTGCAGACTTGTTGGCTCACTCTACTTCCTGTTTATAATCAGTTTCCCATCAGTGTCAAAGTTGAGCTCCTCTCTGGCATGCTGTATGAGGAGCACCCAGATGTGGCCCCTTCCCAGCCAACACTGAGACAAGACTCTTCATTTCCTTGTGGGGAAATCAGTGAGGCACTCTTTGAGAGTACTGGAAGCTTCCCAGCTGTCTTTTGGCTTAGGCTACCCGGTACCTGGTCTGGCTAAGGGGTTCAGGCATGGATGCCTCAGCAATAAAATGCCCTGCCCCACTTGCCTGAGTTCTGCTGTCCCCTACCTACCCCCAACACAGTCCTCACATCAGGGACAAACATAGAGATTTGGGTCTTAAGTTCTCCAGAATGTGGCCACAAAGATGTAGCTCCTGGGGAGCGCAAGCCCATTCTGCAGGTAGAGCTCCACCCTTGTTGACTAGAGAGCCTCCCACCCCACTTTTGGCTAGTTACAGAGGAAGCTCTCATGGGCCAAGAACCCACAGCAGCTTTCTGGGGCACTTGCAGAGGGGGCCCCCTCACACTGGCTGTAAGAAGTGAGGCCCATGATTCCTGGCAGGTGGCCCTAGGGGCTCAGCTGGGCAGCAGGGATGAGGGGCACTACAAGTCCAGCTGACCCTTGAGTACTGCCTGCTCCCTGGCTCTTGAGCTGAGCTGTGAGGGCTGGCCCGCCACAGAGGTATGGGCCTGGACATTCAGCCTGGCAGACTCCACCCTAAGCCGGCTCAGGTCTAAGACAAGGCCTGGGCACCACTGATCCTCTGGGCTGTAGAGTGGCCTGGCCAAGGAAGGAAGGCCACAGAAGGCAGCCACTCTAGGGAAGCTGTTAGACTGTGTCTGTTGCAGAGTGTCAAGGCCCCTGGCCTGAGGCTGCCTGCAGAGCCTGCTGCCTGTGTCCTGCCTGGGGGGCTGTGCTGCGTGGGGCTGGCAGTCTGGATGGATTGGCAGGCCCGCAACCTGGGACACAGAACCAGTCAGGGGGGACACAGCATCGGGAGAGCTCCCCTTAAGACTTGGCCTCCAGGGATCTTGGAGACACTCCATATTTCCAGGTGGCCTGGGCTCCCGGGAGTGAAGCCAGGCAGAGGGGTTTGGGACCTTGTTTTTGCTGAAAGTGTCTGTCGTCACAGAGGCCACAGACCCCACGGAGGAGAACAAGTCTTCACGGCAGCCTCGTGTCCCTTCTTCCCCAGAGACCTGCACACTCTTCAGAGATGGGTCCTTAGACAGAGAACTGGTCCCCTGCTCAGCCTCTGCTAGGACCTCACCCTCTCCTGCAAGGAGACCCTTGGTACCTGAGTGCACCCACAACTCCTGCCTGCTGGGTGCTGAGTCCACTGTGATCCCACTTGCATCTGAGGCCCGGGCCCCGCTGCCCTCCAGCTTCACTGGACCTGGGCATTTCTTCTCAGAGCCAGCTCCCAGCTTCTCCACCAGTCCCCTGGGTGGGGTTGTAGGCTCCCCAGGGACTGGGTCAGGCGAGGCTCGGAGCTCAGGGCCACGGCGGAGCCAGTTGATAACACCCATGGTGACGGTGAGCTCAGTGTCACAGAGCTTCAGCAAACAGTCCTTGCCCTTCCAGGAGCTCTGCAAGAAGCCCTGGCTGAGCAAGTCGGGGCCTGGTGCCGGAGCCAAGTTCTCCTCTGCCCCCACGTGGAAGCTGCACATGGACAGTGGCGCCCCCAGTGCTGGCCCTGACAGACTCTCAGACACGCACAGATCATCATCCAGGTTCCGGCCAATAGAGCCTTCACCAGGGTCATAGAAAAGCTCATAGAGGGCATCTCCACTATAGCTGTCACGAGGGAACGAGGCAGCAGGGATGCCTGGGCTCAGGGCCTCCTTCCTGTCCTCCTCAAGGCCAGGTGAGAAGGCATCATAGTATCCCTCATCACTCGTGGACACAGACTCTGGCTGCTCACTCTTGGGGGTGCCTGTGTCTACAGAGCTGGCTTTGGAGCCGCTGGGAGGGTCCCTGCAGGGGCACAGAGGGAGTTCGGCAAGCCCAGCTGAATCCAGCTTGGGCTGGGCTGTGTCTGTTCCCTTAGGACCCCCCACCCATGGGCCCACTAAGGCACGCTGCTGTTGCCTCACAGAGTGATTCACACTGTCCCAGAACCTGACAAAGTCAGACATTTCATTCTGGACAGGTGACACCAGGTACTCTGCGCTGCCCTGGAAGGGACCCCTGTGAACCTTGCTCTCAAGGGCCTGCGATACCTGTGCTGGGCTCTCCAGACCCTCATTCAGCTCCAAGGATGGCACTGAGCTCTCATCTGCAAAAATCTCCCCGCAGCCTGTGAGTGAGTCAAAGCTCTTGAGTGAGGCCATGTCCTCACACAGGGCCCTGCAGAGGTCAAAGGAAGAGTCGGGCAGGAGCTCACTGTCAGATAGGTCCTGGCACAAGCTGTCCAGCCCTGGTCCCTCGCCCATGGGAAAAAAGGCTTTGCCCAGCTGCCCTCCAGCTTCTGATGGGCCACTGGGGGAGGACAGGTTCCCCCCCTTGGTCGCCAACGAGGCCAAGTTCTCAGTCTTGTTTCTGCGAATGTGGAATAGGTTCCGAAAACACTTCTTGGGTTTTTTCAGGGAAATTCTCTTCCTTGGTATGCTCTTGGCCACAGCAGGCACAAAGGGCATCTGGGGCACAAAGTGGCGGTAATCTATCATGTGCTGGCTGCCAGAGGGCCCTGGAAAGCTCTCACTGCCTGCCAGCTTCCCTGTGGCTGCACCCACCCTGTCAGTCCCGGGCATGCCATTGTGAGTCTTACTCTTTCGTGCTAGTTTGAAGGTGGCCCCACAGAGGGCTGTTGCACCCTCCCCAGGCTCTGGCTGCACCCCCTTATTGGAGCATTTGTTATATCCTTGGGTGCTGGGACTGACTTGGGGGCCCCTCTCACTGTGGAGCTGTTGTTGCTCTCCCAGTGAGACTGACCAGGGGGCTGCATCCTCTTTGGCTGAGGCAGTGGCTGCTGGCCCTGGGGGTTTCTCATGGGAAATTTGCAGGCTGGACTTGATGAAAGTCTTTCCTCTCTTCAGCTCCATGCTGCCAGTGCCCTCAGCTGCTGTGAAAGAAAGCAGGAGACACTTAGTATCCAAAGTAAAGGCCAATGATTCTCAAAGACTACTGCACCAACTGCTCACACTTGTGGCATTGGAGCTGAGCTCTCACATCAAAACTGGGATCCTCCATGGAGGTGGTAAAGAAAATGGGAAAAGCCCCAACTATGCTCACTCCTCCAGCTTTTATAGACAACTGATGCCCAGAGAAGTTAAGTCACATGACTAAAGGCAACAGTACAAGCCAACATGACAGCAGACTGGGATCTGGTGCTCCTGTATTTGTGGTCTCTCAGCTCACCCAAATATCCTCTCAGAGCTTGTCTGGCCAAGTCAGACTCCCATTTCCAGGCCCAGGCACTCTACACATTGCACCACATCCTTATGGAGAAGTATCATGGCCCTTCTAACTGGACAGAGCAGAGGATTCAGTAAATAAGTTGCCTCCTTCATCTAAGAGACAAAGCTCAATGAAAAACCTAAGCCTGCCTCCTGGGCTGGATACATTTGGTCCTTAATAGGAGGAGAAGACATAACTACTGCCCTCCAGGGCTATTGCATCTGTTCAGGGAGAGAAGACTCAATTATACACCCATCAGGCAAGGCACAGCCAAGCATCTAATAGTGCATGCAGAGCTAGAGCACTGAGATGAAAGAGGACTATGGTGGAAGACCCAAGACGGGAGGCCAGGAACAAATAGATTGGATAGACACATCTTAACTGAAAGGTATTGATGCTTGGAGTGCCATCCAGAGAAGGTTTCTGATGCCCAATCTGAGTTCAGTGGAAAAGTGTTCTGAGATTACTTATTGATGTCTGTCCTGGATGAGGGACTGGAAACATGGTGGAGAGTTAACACCTTGATCATTCTTGCACAGATGAGAAGTTTGGCCTTACCCTGAGATTAATGAAGAGCTATTGAAGTCTTCTGAGTAAGGCAAGTGGGTGGAAGTGGTGGCAAAAAGATGCTGGTGATCTAAGACCATTCATCTGACATTGGAATGGAGGGCAGAATAAATCAGGAGAGAGCTCTGAGCAGAAAGGACTCAAAAGAGGCAGCAAAAATGGCTGTGTGTGTAGAGATAAGGTCTAGATGGTGGCTACAGTCATAAGTATGAAAAAGAGGTGTCAAAGGAAGAAACAACAGGGTTCAGCAGCTGAATACAGGAAGAGAAGCAGGCCAGAAGTGTAAACCCTGAGGCCTGGATTCATGACAGGACAGGGGAACAATGAAAAGTGGGAAAAGGCAATAAAATGGAGAGATGAAAGAAGATGAGGAAGGAGACTGTGCTAAAAGTTGGTTTGAGAGAGAAAAGAAAGGGTCTAACTTTAAACATATTGCCTTAGGGGTGAGTTTGGAGGCCTACAAAACCGCACTAAAAGAAGGCAGCCTGAGAACTGCCTGACTCCCTTGCTGTGTCCTCACAGGCACCCAGCTCACATGCTCAGTACATCCCAGTGTCCTCTTCTCCTTGGCAGTGACTGACCTGCAGGTTGGTCCTCTGTCAGTCTGGCCAGGGAGATTAGAGGAGTTTGGGCTGGTTTCTTTGACTTTCCATAAGGACTGCATCACAGAGAGCACCTGAAGTCACTACACTTTAGTCCACAGCTTGTGAGGGAGGAATGGAGCAGGAGTGAAAGCATAAGTATCTGTCAGCTCACATATCTTTCACATCCACTGCCAAGGAAGCCTCACAGCTACTTTGAAAGAGCTGCTTGACAACCATGATATGAACAGAGTCAGCTCCAGATTCTCTGAAATGCTTCAACATGAGGACTCGGAGGCAAGCAGAGGGGCTGCCTCACAACCCAGGAGGCAACATTAAAGCCAAAAAGAATGAGAAGGAGTGACAAACCTGGCATTACAGAGACTCACAGGGGCAAGCTGACCAGTCTCCACCCTACTCCCACCCATGAGCAGGGCTTCTGCCCATGTAGTGGGACTCCTGGGACTTTTAACTGGTGGATAAGGAAAGGAGCAGGCACTGTGCCAGGGAAAGCCACAGAACCAAGCCCTAGCTCTGTCTACAGCTCAGCTCTTAGTGGCAGCATCCTGGAGAGTAGGACAGTGCCTCAAGCTGCTCTCTGCTTTTTGCAGCCAGGTGGCATGTGCCCAAACTTTCCTACCTTGTACCTGCAGACCCCATTTCCACTCCCCACAATCCTTTGTGGCCTAGATAAGGTCTCCCTCAGTCTGGTGGGTTTTGCTGCACATAGCATAGTGGTTACTATCTGGGTTTTGGAGTAAGAAGACCCAGATTTGAGTCTTGGTTACATAACAAGGTACATAGCTACATAACCAGGCTGAATGCTTGGCCCATAACCTTATAAGAGGCATATTATTAAAACCCCTATTTTATTAAAGAGAAATTAAGGTCCAGAAAAATCAATAGATTGACTCAGGTCTACAGGTGGTAAATAACAGAGTTATAAGAGTCCATGCCTGTCTGATTCTGAGCCTGTGCTCTTAACCATGATAGATATTCTATGAACCAATAGCTCAAACTGCCCTTCATAGGAAATTTGAAAATGAAACAATAATTGTGTTTTTTCATAAGGAATTTTGGAAAGCATAATGAAAAATAAAGGATAAAAACAAATTTAGCTCACACAAATTTAGAAAAATTGTGATTGAAGGCAATACAATTTCTATGGCAAGACGTTTTGGAGATATCCATTATAAGATCTCTATTGCACTTATTCTTTGCTGTTTCAGAAAAACATTTTTATTACCATACTCTTGAAAATAACTTCAACCAGGCCTGATAAAGATTATTTCATTGTGTACAGAATATTGTGTCCACAAGAATAAAGATGGTTTATTTGGTATTGATCTCTATAAATGAAACTACTGGTTTCTTAATTCATGGAACAGTTAAAATCATGAACAGATGGAAATTTCACAACACTCTGAATTTGGAAAATGAGCTTCAAAATAGCTGCCCTTTCTAAAAATGGCTGGATTCAGTGTCCCTAATATTGTCAATCCTGTTTGCTAAGTTCACTTAACACTTTGCATGATGGAACAATCAGCACTAAGGTCCAGAACAATGAACCAGAGACTTGCAAAATACTGAAGCAATCATATGAAATCCAGTGTGTATGCAGTCCAATTTCCAGATTAAAATATTTTATCACAGCCTGACTCTTTGGAAATGTGGGCCCATATGTGACATGGGTGGGAACTTCCTGAGGGGGCAGAGGGTCCACTGTCCAAATGGAGACAGGGTGAGCAGTCACCTTCTATGATAGTTTGATAGTTTTAGGCATAGAGTGGGATTTATCTGGACAGCCAGATGCTGGCACGGTCACTGCCTGTGGGGCAGAGGCCAAATATGTTCAGGTTCTCAGCTTGAAAAATGTACACTCTGCATTGCAATCCTGTGGCTAAAGACCCCCTCAGTGGAATCCAGCATGAAACTATGTGTCACATCCCTCCCTAAAAGACAAAGCATACTTGCCCCCCTCCTGGCTTTGTGCCTTCTTGTTTGTAGCACTCAGTGATCACTAGCTGCTCACTCTGGTGCTTACTTGGTCTTCTTGTTCCCCAGTGAGGTTGAAAATTTCTCTAAGATTCAGGACTCCAAATGTAGTAGACATGAACTATTACTTATTTAAATGAAATATTTATGTTTTGAGACATCTTAGCCATATATTTACATTTAAGTTTCCTAAATAGGATATTGGTCTGGAGTTTAATTCACAGTTCATGCACATCATTTTCTAAGATGAGTCCCAGTGATGCTTAGACACCCTTGACTGAGTCTTTCATCTCTAAAATGAACTTGCATATTCCATCAGAACAGGGACCGCACCATGTATTTATTTAATCAATTTGGATTCAAGAATGTGCAATGTGCTATTTAAACCAAAACCTAAAAGACAGCTAAAGACAACCAGGCAAAAAAAGATGTGGGAAGTGTATTCCAGTCATAGGGAACATCCTATGAAAAGGCCTTGAGGAGTAAGGGAGGGAGAATACTTAAAGATCTAAAAGCAAGCCCCAGGTAGACAGAGCAGCAAGTCAGTGGAATGAAGCAGGGAGATGGGCAGGGCAGATCACAGCTGGCCAAGGTCACAGAAAAGGTCTTTGCCTTTATCCTATGTGCCATGGGGAGCCAGCCATCAAAGGTGAATGACATGAACCAATGTTCAATTTTAACAGATCACTCCAGTTGTAGGTGAGAATGGAAAATAAGGACAAGAGTGGAGGCAAGAATTCAGGTGAGGAGCATGCGCAGGGGCCAATGGAGAGAAAGAGGTGGCAGAACGTCCCACGTGCATACACCTTCCTTTTCAGTGCCTTACACAGAGTATGCACATGCATATAGACTTACTGCAAATTAAGCAGATGAAGTATTTCTACTGGCTTCTTTTCTACATGATGACTGACTTTATCTCAACTACCTAGAATTCTCTTTTCCGTTTGGTAAAGTAATTTTGTGCTTTTCTTTCCCTTTTTAACATGAAAGTGACTGGGTGTTTCATGGAGCAAAATAAAAACCTCAACATACAGATTTGCTACAGAAATGGTTTGGAGATATAAAAATTTTTACTAATAGTTTTGATGTTTGCTGTGCTTTCCCTTGCCCCGCTCCCAACACCCAGGAAAATCACAAGCAGTGAAATACAAAAGGGTGGGTGGTGATAGGAAAGCAGAGGCCTCTTAGGAGAGACCTGCTCAGGAGTTTCCTGGATATTGGCGTGGGCGTAGGAAGCTATGTACAGGGTAAGAATTTATTTCTGTTATAGGCTGCCTTGTCTAAGCTAAAACCCTCCGATGGATGAAATGAAGGCCATTGTGTGGAGGGAAAGCCTCCGTGTTCTGGAGTGGGTGTGGGGTAAGTAGCATCTGCAGCAAGAAATAGAATCTGCAGCAAGCATCGCCAATTCACCCTACCCTCACGTTGAAGGAAACAAAGAGTCCTTTGGGGAGCAACGGTTCTGGCCCACCTCCTCTAAAGGAGTCCCTGAGTATTCCTGGCCTGCTCAACCGAGAGAAGATGGGTCTCCAGTCTTATCAGTTTTTTCCTAGGCACCGGAACCTCAGGCAGAGGGTTTCTTCCTTTCCCTATCTCAGACTTAGAAGAGGAGTCACCCCCAGACTCCAGACCCCAACCATCCGTGCCAGGCACAACGAGGTGGAGAGAGAGCAGACCTTAGTTTCTCCACTCAGCCCTCCCATCACGCGAAAGAATGCACAAAACTGCCAGATCACCCCCTCCCCGCAAGCCTACCTCCTTGCGGCCTTGGCGACTTACTGCTGGTTCTCAGAGCGTCGCAGAACCCGGCTTTAGCAGGGCAGGGAGCCGCGCCCCAACCCGAGCTGTGAGCTCAGCACCACGGCCAGCTCCCGGCGTCGCGCGCCGCCGCCGAGCGGGAAGAGACCCAGGACCAAAGTCCGCTCGCCGCCCCTTGACCGGGCTGGGCAGCCGCCGCCGCCGCGGACAGGCAGGCGAGGGTTAAGTCGTGGGAGGACGATGGGGCGGGGCTGGACCCCGCCCGGAGCCAAGCTGTCGGAGGCGCCCCTGCGCAGTAGTGGGAGAGGTGACACGCGCGGGGCCAGGGTGGAGGCTGTTCCGCAGGTCGCCACCTCAGTGCGCCGCCGCCGTACGGACCCCGCTCGGCCTCGCTTTGTTAGTGTTTCTCCCGGTCTCTGCCTCTGTGTGCCTCTGCCTACGCGCAGAACTGTGGTTTTTGCATCCCTCAGGCCCAGCTGCCCGCGCTGCCGGAACGGACAGCCGCCGGGTCGTCTCCTCTCACTGCCCACCGCACTCCCGCGCTATGGTCCGAGCTTTTTAGAGCTCACAGGTGGGGGTGCCCTTCCCCTCACACCCCCTAGCGCAGGGGCAGAATTAACCCCAACCCTCTCGGAAGGGATCGGGCACACGCGGCCTAGTCACCAGTTTTACCCAGGATTCGGGGCGGGCTTGCAAGAAGGGGCAGGCCAATCTCCCGATGCAGGGCAGAGTCTTCCAAGAAGCTTCTTGGACCCCGTTATATTATTAATGGGCACAAAGGAGACGCTTCCTTTACAGGTACTCACTCACCGTGTGGAGTCTGCTGGTGCTGGGCCCTGCCGCAGCCTTGGGGGAGGAATAGAAATGTTGTGGGGACTCCCCGCTGAGCTAAGGACAGAGGGTCTGTACACCGGAAGGCAAGAATAAAGTATGGATTAAGTAACTCCAGGGTGGCTCAGGGAGCAATGCCAGGAGCATGGGGGAGGGACTGTGGGTTGGAAGAGTAAGAGTGCACATCTGGTACTAGTGAGGCACCTGATCCCAAGGAGAGCAGTATGGCAGGTGAGGCTGATCCCATACAACAGAGGTGAGTGCAGGTAGTGAGTAATTGGAGAAAGGAAGGAGGGTTCACCCAGTCCAGGCTTATTGAGCTGAGGCCCAAAGAAGGTGCAGTCTCCTGCAAATGACAAAGGCCATGCTTTTCTTTGAGCCTCATGGGCTTGCTCTCTGTCCACATCTCCAAAAAAAACCCTGGACACACAAGATATCCCACCTTGGTTTGGACTGGCTTTGTCATAGCCCATCTGCCTTCTTTATAATTAGCCACCTTGAGTCCACCCCATTGCAGGCCCCTCCTTCAGCAAGCATCACCCACCCCCTTTGGATGAGCCCACCTTCTTGCATTTCTTGGAGTTGAACCATTTTTCTACCTGGTGACTGACTCAATGGTACCCCAGGTGTCCTTCCTCCTCCCGTGTTGGTGGTGTAGTCCTGACTTTTCCAGGCAGTTTCCAGCCGTCAGATTTCCCTGAATCAATTCTTCCTCTGTTGGGTAAAAACAAAAATGGATCTATGCCTCATTGCCACATACACCCCAAATCAAGGACAGGAATCACACAGATTCCACAGTCCTTGTTAATTAAAGTTAATAAACATTAGCCTCTCCTAGTATGGTCTCCCCTTTTCCGGATTAGGACTCTTCATATTTCTTAAACATTTCCCTTTTTAGAGATAGTTATGGGCTCAACTTCTAGTTAATGATAATTGCTCTTTTCCATGCTCAGCTTGCGAACCTTTGGCTAATGACTGCTATTCTGAGCCAGTCAGGGAATTTTTAAATGTCCCTTCTTGTGGGTAAAAAAACAAAAACAAAAGAGAACAAACAGATTAGATAGATGATAGATAGATAAATAGATATAGATAGATATAGATGGTAGATGATACAGATATAGATAAAGATATAGATATAGATAGATATAGATATAGATATAGAATAGATAGATATAGATAAATATACACACACATACTCTTTCACGCGTGTATTAATTGCACTGTTGTGACTGCCTTGATGACCTGAATCATTTTGACTTTGGAAAAGACCCACAAGTCTCACAGTGGCAGGTCCGGTGAGTAAAGTGGATGAGGATACACTGTAATATAATGTTTTTATTTGACAGAAATTGTCATATACCAGATGCGATGTGTGACATGGAGCATTGTCATGATGGAGGATGCTTTATGGCACACTTTAAAACACACCTTCTCTCAACCGTAGTTCACAACTGACTGGCTACACCAAACAAGTTGAAACCTGTCACACACTGTTATTAAGCACCCGCTTCCTGTATTGAAGATCCCTGCCTTTCCATTGGATGGCGCTTGGCAGCAGAGTTCACCATATTATTTGATCACAGTGGAAAGGCTCCATGTCACACAATGCTTCTCGCACTGCAATTTCTGTCAAATAAAAACATTACCACCTTATTCATCCACCTTATTGACCAGATCTGGCACCATGCAATTTCTGGCTCTTTCCCAAAGTCAAAATGACCATGAAAGATAAATAACTTTGCATCAACTCAGGACATCGAGGCAGCCATGACAAGACAACTAAAGACACTCACAAAAGAAGACTTCCAGAACTGCTTCAGAAAGTGACAAGAACAATGGGATAAGTGTGTTTGAAGCGAGGGGTAGTATTTTGAAGGGGATTAATGGCAATGTGCCTTTTCCTGTAATAAATTTTTTTATTTAAACAGTCACCATATGTTTTGATCACACCTTACACATGTATGAATATATACAAAGGTTAAAGAGATTAACCTTTACCCATTGAATATTCTTGGCTCTCTTGTCAAGTATTAGTTGACTGTATATACAAAAGATTACTTTTGGGCTCTCAGTTCTGTTCTATTTGCATATATATATATATATATATATATATATATATATATATATATATATATA